TTTGACCATCCCTGGCCAGAACATAATATCCTTGGCCCTGTTCAGCGTTTTAGTCACTCCCATATGACCTACATGAACAGCGTTAATCATTTCAGTTCGCAATGAACTTGGAATGACCAATGTTTGACCACGGAAAATTATGTCATTTACAGTCGAGAGTTCATCCCGATGATTCCAAAATTCTAATATGGAATTCGGGCACTCATGCCTAGATTCAGGCCAGCCGTCAATAATTGTTTGTTTCAGTGACTGAAACTGAATGTCTTGCTGTGTGGACAGTCTGAGGTCTTGTAATTTTCCGTCGCTAACCGGTAAACTATTAATAACCGTGTGCACGTGCACGTCAAGTCCGTCAGACAATTCTGGATACGTATCCTTGACAAAATGACGGGATAATGTATCCGCTACGGGAATGCTTTTCCTGCTAACATGTACGACCTCTATGTCGAACTGTTGAATCTGTAATAAGAGACGTTGTAGTCTGGGGGTCGCCCGACATATTTCTTTTTTCATAACTGAAACTACAGGTTTGCAATCAGATTCAACTTTAGTATGTCTTGCGTAACAGTATTGCTTGAAACGTCGAAGACCATGAAGTATAGCTAATGTCTCTTTTTCTATTTGAGCATAACCTCTCTCTGTAGGGGTCAACGTCTTTGATGCAAATGCAATGGGCTTGCCGTCCTGTAAGCACGTGCAACCTAAACCACGTGCACTCGAGTCGACTTGCAATGTGACAGGCTTTTTCGGGTCATAGTATGCCAAGACTGGTGCCTTAGTCATTGCGACTTTAACCTTTTCAAAGGCGTCAATTTGCGCACTGTCCCATATAAACTCAATGTCTTTTTTCAACAAGTCACGCATAGGGCTTACCATTTCTGCCAATTTTGAATCAAATTTTGACAGATACGTGATCATGCCAAGAATAGTTTCTAACTCTGACTTATTTTCTGGGGCTTTCATTTCTACAATTGCCCTGATTTTTTTCGGGATCGGGCTTAAGACCGTCAGCTGTCACTACGTGACCAAAGTATTTAACTTCCTGAGAGCCGATAACACATTTGTCTGGGTTAAACCTAATACCCTTTTCACGTGCTCGGTCCAAAACACGTGTCAGGTTTGCATCGTGCTCTTCGATAGTCCGTCCGTACACAAGAAGATCGTCTACTATTGACGTCACGCCCGTCACGTCCTCGAAGAATTCGTCGATTTTTTTGACAAAATATGTCTTGGGAACTTTTGATACCCATAGGAAGCCGCAAATATCGGTATCTACCGAAGGGACTATTAAATGTCGTCAAATATGAGGATTCGTCCGTCAATTTTATCGACCAATAACCTTTCGTTGCGTCTAATACACTGAAGTACTTAGCACCTGTCAATTGGTTTGTCACGTCTTCTATAGTCCTCATAGGGTAGGTAGTGCGGTCTCATGATATTGTCATTTAGTGCTTTAGGGTCTAAACACACCCTCAGCTTTCCAGTGCTGGGTTTTTCCACACAGACTAATGAATTGACCCAGTCAGTCGGTCTAGTAACCTTTTGGATAATTCCTTTATCCTCCATAGACTTCAACTCATTTTTTAAACGGTCCTGTAAAGCTACAGGTACACGCCTGGGTGGACATATTACAGGTATAGCTTTTGGTTTTAAATGTAAACTGCATGTACCTGGGAATAAACCAATGCCTTTAAATACGTCATTGTAATCAGTCAAGATTTTTTGTTTATCTAACGTGACTGGTTGTTTTTCTATAGCATAGGTCAGTTTTATCAATCTCAGATCTATTGAAGTCTGTAAGCTTAATAATGCTGGAGATTTACTGCCTACTACATGAAAACATGCAATTATTTCCTTATCCTTGAACTTACAGGGTAAGTTGACCTTTCCATAAACTGGGATAGGGTCTTTAGTGTAGGAAGATAACCTATCATCAGAGGGTAGCAAGGGGTCTTTGAAATCTAGTTTCTTGAGCATTTCCTGAGGTATCAAGTTACATTGAGAACCTGTATCTATTTTGAAATTTACAGGGGCGGACTTTCGGCCAATTTGGAGTTGAACCATTGCGCAATCAGGTCGAGAAGTAATGAAATCATTTACCGTGCATACATAAAAATCCTGATCGTCACTCGATAAGTCCGACTCACAATTTATATTGTTCACAGTATTACGTGATTTACATATTTTCTGGAAATGATTCAGTTTGCCACATTTCCTGCACGTTTTCCCCTTTGCTGGACACGTTTTGCCCTCTTGATGTGTTGTCCCGCATCTAGAACAGGTCATTTTCTCGTCCCTGTCTTGTGGCTTTTCCCGCCTTCGGATTAAACGTTTTCTAGGTCTCGCCACGTGGTGAACGTCCTTGTCCGCCGCAGATGCCATTGAACTCAATTGCTGTTTGGAATATTCCATATTTTGAGCGATTTGTACAGCTTTATCTAGGGTCAATTCTGCACCTTCGTTGATTAGCTTTTCTCGAACCTTAGAAGAATTTGTGCCAAATACAATACGGTCCCGTATCATTTCGTCTGTGTTTGCAAAACTGCAGTCTCGTGCACATATTTGTAATTTTGTTAAGAACGAATCGATGGTTTCTTCTTCCTGTGTTTGATTGTAGAATTTATATCTAGCAAATATTGGATTGAGCTTAGGTTGCACATAAGTTCTGAATTTTCTGTAGAACGTGTCGATCTTTTTGGCATCGTCTTCAGAAATATCTTTGCACGTGCAGTGGATATCCCGCCCTTTATCACCAATCCATAATAGAAAGTAAGAAACTTGTTCTTCTTCAGACTTTTTCTTCAAAGGTCCAGTAAACATTAGTTTTGCGTGACGTTCGAATTTATTATAAGCTTCAGGTAAATTCGAAGATTCCCAGTCCATTTGGGGCACTGACAATCCAGATAATTCCATTTTGTTTTCAAATATTAATTTAATTGTGTAACTTTATTTTGTTAAGATAAATATTCCAATTTTTTTTTATCGTATGTCCAGGTTATTTATAAAACGTTTTTACTCTGACACCATGTTGTAATGTTCGTTTATTCATGAACAATTAATAATAGAAATTAAATCAAGTGCGTTGATACAATGAAGTAAAGTAAAACACGACGAGTGTTCAGCACAAGATATAAATTTATTCTGTAAACCCTTAACATGTGATCTTAGATTTACTAGAAATACGGAGCATGCGCAAACAAGCATTATACATAGGTCAGCTCAAGTTCATCATGTACGATGATACTACATACCTCATTATAAATACCTACCTTCACTGGTGGGCCACTATTAAAATCTTATTCAACCTTACTATACCTCATTATAAATACCTACCTACACTGGTGGGCCACTATTAAAATCTTATTCAACCTTACTCTACATCATTATAAATACCTACCTACACTGGTGGGCCACTATTACAAACTATCTAGTCTTGAAATATCTTATTACTAATACCTACCTACACTGGTGGGCAACTATTACAAACTATTTAGTCTTGAAATATCTAATTAATTATACCTACCTACATTGGTGAGCGACTATTATATCACATTATGTCCTTATATATCTTATTTACTACCTACAGTTTTGGCTAAATATTACATCTCATTGTAATTGGGGTGTCTGAAAATGTTGTTTAATTGACCATTTAGTTACCTATTCTTTGAATATGTTTGAATCTGTATGTGTTTATATTTACAACAGAAATACATTGAAGTAGCACAAAATCTTTTACAGAATACACCAATTTATCATTAATGCAGAAATGAGTTAATCTGTAACTGCACTGAGGTGACAAAATGTTCAATTTGGTGTTGATCTAGTATGTTTACAATGTGTTTACAGATTATTATATCATGCTAATATAAAATTTCTCATATGGTAAAATTGAATTTTACAGTAAGTTATCCAAATATATCCCCAAGTCTAACCTTGACCTTTGGACAATGACCTTGCACAAAACATACTACTACAGTATTTGTATATTGAAGCTTACATTTGCCAGCTAACAGATGGACAGACTGCTGCATGCACAAAAACTGTTGTCAGAACACACACAAAAAAGAAATATAATAATTATGATTGTTACACATTATCTGTCTCCAGTATAAAAAAAATAAATGGTTAAACAGCTACAATTTTAACTTCTATCAATATATATAAAGAGCTAAAAATTTTAATAATAAAAAGGATTTGATTTTGTGTAAGTACATATATCATTACTTTAACTTTAAAGAGGTTTCTTAAAAAATATATCAATAGCATGAATATTAGTTTTAATTTACAGTATAAAAACAAGCTACTTTCAGTAAATTTCTTCAAAAAGCATCCTAAATAGAGGATATTAGATGAGTGTACATGTTACTAAGGTTTAATACTTAATTTATTGAATTTATTGAGTTGAATAAAATCATATTATACGAGCCTCTGGCGAGCATAATATTGTTTTATTCAACTTGTTCAATAAATTTAGTATGGAACCTATACGAATATACGAATATAATATTCTATTTATCACATACCCAAAAAGAGAACGGCTTATAGTTAAAATAAGTCATTTTCATTGACGCGCCTATAGTGTAACGCTAACATTAGCGCGCAATAACTCTATGACATCATGACAAAGTGTTATTACACTAGAGTAATATTGATTTATCACATAATACGCGTCGCAGGAGTGTAATAAAGCCATTTAATAAAAACGATATTACACTATAATAACACTTTGACGTGACGTCATTTACGCTATATATGAATATAGCGTTAAAGTGCGCTAATGTTAGCCTTACACTATAGGCGCGTCATTGAAAAAATACTCATTTTAGCAGTTTACTGTTGTTATTTTATATATGTGATAAATAGAATATTATATTCGTGTAGATTCAATACTAAATTTATTAAACTCGTTGAATAAAACAATACTATGCTCGCCAGAGCCTCGCATAATATGATTTTATTCAACTTGTTTAATAAATTTAGTATCAAACTACACTCATTCAATATCCTCTATTTATTAAATGGCTTTATTACACTCATGTGCCGTGGTTTATGTGATAATTAGAGTTATTTAAACAGGTAACAAATTTGACAATAGCAAAATTTTACAACATATACCTTATAACAATGGAATGAAGCAGTTCTGACTAATATTTAAAACATCATTTACATAATTATGAAACAAACTGTAACTTAAAAAAATCTAAAACTGCTAAAAATCCATTAATTTCAAGCTGATCCATTTCTTGTGTTTGTGTACACTATTGTCATTATTGTTAGAGTTGTGCTATATTTCTGCTCTGTTTCATTGATGGTGTCATCCATTACCCTTGATTTGGTTTTTCACATCCGCTTAATATAGAACTTCCATACTGTATACCCAACCAGACCTGAAAAGAAGAAAACAAATTAATGTCAAAAGAAAATCATGAGAAACAAAATATTTATAAGTTAAATACATGTCATGTGTAATAATCAATATGCAACCCTCATTCTTCCAGACACTTGAACCCTTAACCTGGTGGAACATGGGGCCATTAGCCTTTGTCACAGTAAAGAGCAGCCGCCTGCACTTTCGTGGAGTCTTACCAAGTCCTCAACTGTTGGCAGCTCAATTTTTGAGTTTATTTTCTAATTCACCTAAACTTTGAATTAGGGGTTCTAAATTCAAAGCAAGGTCAATATCTATTTCACAAGTTGAGCAGGTAAAGTGCTATTTAAAACAGACTTGTCATGCTTTCTTCTTGTACCTTATTCTTACAAAATTAATAGATTTAACATTATCTGCAACTTTTAAAATAGCAAACCTATGTTTAGACATAAGGTCAGGAAATATTACTTAAGTTGCATTATTAGGGCCTACAAAATTTTATATCGGATTGCCAATTTTGTCAGCTCTTTTCTTATACATGTAGTATACAAAAGAACACATTTCCTTTTTTAAACAACTTCTTGAAAGTAATAGCCAACCTATATATAGACAGAAAGGGCAGGAAATATACATTTTATTTGTATAATGGTTTAATGCCTAATATCCTGAAATAAGTTATACATTTGACATTTAAGACCAACCTACATAAGTACCAGACTGTACCATTTGGTGTTGGAATTAGTTTTAGAAATGATTTACTTACCTAGAAATCCTAAAATCCACAAATAAGCAATTTGTTTTAGAAGTGGTTAGTTGATAGTTTCATAATCAAACTTAACAGTAAGCAGAAGTTCTTTGATGACAATTGCTAAAATCATCAATGATTTTCAACCAAACTTGTTCAGCTCTCTGGAATATAGATATTACCTCTTACATGTAAGATTAACACAATGTGATATTTTAGTACTTGATATAAAACATTTCCTGTCTTGAGGGTTTTAACACAGATTTTAACACATTCTTTTAGAAATTTTCACAAGTGATTATATCTACCTAAATTTTTATAGTTTGTAATAGTGGCCCACAAGTGTAGGTAGGTATTAATAATAAGATATTTCAAGACTAGATAGTTTGTTATAGTGGTCTACCAGTGTAGGTAGGTATTCATATTAAGATATTTCAAGACTAAATAGTTTGTGATAGTGGCCCACCAGTGTAGGTAGGTATTAATAATGAGAGATTTCAAGACAAGTTAGTTAGTAATAGTGGCCCACCAGTGTAGGTAGGTATTTATAATAAGATATTTCAAGACTAGATAGTTTGTGATAGTGGCCCACCAGTGTAGGTAGGTATTTATAATGAGGTATAGTAAGGTTGAATAAGATTTTAATAGTCGCCCACCAGTGTAGGTAGGTATTAATGATTAGCTTTTCCAAGACTAGATAGTTTGTAAAAGTGGCCCACCAGTGTAGGTAGGTATAGATAATATGATATTTCAAGACTAGATAGTTTGTAATAGTGGTCTACCAGTGAAGGTAGGTATTCATAATAAGATATTTCAAGACTAGATTGTTTGTAATAGTGGCCTACCCGTGTAGGTAGGTATAAATAATAAGATATTTCAAGACTCGATAGTTTGTAATAGTGGCCCACCAGTGTAGGTAGGTATTCATAATGAGATATTGTAAGGTTGAATAAGATTTTAATAGTGGCCCACCTGTGAAGGTAGGTATTAATGATTAGATTTTCCAAGACTAGATAGTCTGTAAAAGTGGCACACCAGTGTAGGTAGGTATAGATAATAAGATATTTCAAGACTAGATAGTTTGTAATAGTGGTCTGCCAATGTAGGTAGGTATTCATAATAAGATATTTCAAGACTAGATAGTTTGTGATAGTCGCCCACCAGTGTAGGTAGGTATTAATAATGCGAGATTTCAAGACTACTTAGTTAGTAATAGTGGCCCACCAGTGTAGGTAGGTGTTTATATTAAGATATTTCAAGACTAGATTGCTTGTAATAGTGGCCCACCAGTGTAGGTAGGTATAATAATAAGATATTTCAAGACTAGATAGTTTGTGATAGTGGCCCACCAGTGTAGGTAGGTATTTATAATGAGGTATAGTAAGGTTGAATAAGATTTTAATAGCGGCCCACCAGTGTAGGTAGGTATTAATAATAAGATATTTCAAGACTAAATAGTTTGTGATAGTGGCCCACCAGTGTAGGTAGGTATTTAAAATGATGTATAGTAAGGTTGAATAAGATTTTAATAGTCGCCCACCAGTTAAGGTAGGTAGCAATGATTAGATTTTCCAAGACTAGATAGTTTGTAAAAGTGGCCCACCAGTGTAGGCAGGTATAGATAATAAGATATTTCAAGATTAGATAGTTTGTGATAGTGGCCCACCAGTGTAGGTAGGTATTTATAATGAGGTATAGTAAGGTTGAATAAGATTTTAATAGTCGCCCACCAGTGTAGGTAGGTATTAATAATTAGATTTACCAAGACTAAATAGTTTGTAAAAGAGGCCCACCAGTGTAGGTAGATATAGATAATAAGATATTTCAAGACTAGATAGTTTGTTATAGTGGCCTACCAGTGTAGGTAAGTATTCATAATAAGATATTTCAAGACTAAATAGTTTGTGATAGTGGCCCACCAGTGTAGGTAGGTATTAATAATGAGAGATTTCAAGACAAGCTAGTTAGTAATAGTGGCCCACCAGTGTAGGTAGGTATTTATAATAAGATATTTCAAGACTAGATTGTTTGTAATAGTGGCCCACCAGTGTAGGAAGGTATTACTAATAAGATATTTCAAGACTAGATAGTTTGTGATAGTCGCCCACCAGTGTAGGTAGGTATTAATAATGAGAGATTTCAAGACTACTTAGTTAGTAATAGTGGCCCACCAGTGTAGGTAGGTGTTTATATTAAGATATTTCAAGACTAGATTGTTTGTAATAGTGGCCCACCAGTGTAGGTAGGTATTAATAATAAGATATTTCAAGACTAGATAGTTTGTGATAGTGGCCCACCAGTGTAGGTAGGTATTTATAATGAGGTATAGTAAGGTTGAAATAAGATTTTAATAGTGACCCACCAGTGTAGGTAGGTATTAATGATTAGCTTTCCAAGACTAGATAGTTTGTAATAGTGGCCAATCAATGTAGGTAGGTATTAAAAATAAGATATTTCAAGACTAGATAGTTTGTAAAAGTGGCCCACCAGTGTAGGTAGGGTATTAATAATAAGATATTTCAAGACTATATAGTTTGTAATTGAGGCCCACCAGTGTAGGTAGGTATTATAGTAAGATATGTTAATGATATATAGGATTTAATAGTGGGACACCAGTGTAGGTAGATATTAATGATTAGATATTTTAAGACTAGATAGATTGTATAAATAGTGGCTCACCAGTGTAGGTAGGTATTTATAATGAGGTATAGTAAGGTTGAATAAGATTTTAATAGTGGCCCACCAGTGTAGGTAGGTATTAATAATAAGATATTTCAAGACTAGATAGTTTGTGATAGTGGCCCACCAGTGTAGGTAGGTATTAATAATGAGAGATTTCAAGACTAGTTAGTTAGTAATAGTGGCCCACCAGTGTAGGTAGGTATTTATTTTAAGATATTTCAAGACTAGATAGTTTGTAATAGTGGCCCACCAGTGTAGGTAGGTATTAATAATAAGATATTTCAAGACTAGATAGTTTGTAATAGTGGCCCACCAGTGTAGGTAGGTATTTATAATGAGGTATAGTAAGGTTGAATAAGATTTAATAGTGGCCCACCAGTGTAGGTAGGTATTAATAATAAGATATTTCAAGACTAAATAGTTTGTAATAGTGGCCCACCAGTGTAGGTAGGTATTTATAATGAGGTATAGTAAGGTTGAATAGAATTAAATAGTCGCCCACCAGTGAGGGTAGGTAGAAATGATTAGATTTTCCAAGACTAGATAGTTTGTAAAAGTGGCCCACCAGTGTAGGCAGGTATAGATAATAAGATATTTCAAGATTAGATAGTTTGTGATAGTGGCCCACCAGTGTAGGTAGGTATAGATAATATGATATTTCAAGACTAGATAGTTTGTAAAAGTGGCCCACCAGTGTAGGTAGGTATAGATAATATGATATTTCAAGACTAGATAGTTTGTGATAGTGGCCCACCAGTGTAGGTAGGTATAGATAATATGATATTTCAAGACTAGATTGTTTGTAATAGTGGCCCACCAGTGTAGGTAGGTATAGATAATATGATATTTCAAGACTAGATAGTTTGTGATAGTGGCCCACCAGTGTAGGTAGGTACTTATAATGAGGTATAGTAAGGTTGAAATAAGATTTTAATAGTGACCCACCAGTGTAGGTAGGTATTAATGATAAGCTTTCCAAGACTAGATAGTTTGTAATAGTGGCCAATCAATGTAGGTAGGTATTAAAAATAAGATATTTCAAGACTAGATAGTTTGTAATGGTGGCCCACCAGTGTAGGTAGGTATTAATAATAAGATATTTCAAGACTAGATAGTTTGTAATAGTGGCCCACCAGTGTAGGTAGGTATTATAGTAAGATATGTAAATGATATATAGGATTTAATCGTGGGACACCAGTGTAGGTAGGTGTTAATGATTAGATATTTTAAGACTAGATAGTTTGTATAAATAGTGGCTCACCAGTGTAGGTAGGTATTTATAATGAGGTATAGTAAGGTTGAATAAGATTTAATAGTAGGCCTCTAGTGTAGGTAGGAATAAATGAATAGATATTTCAAGACTAGATCGTATATAAAAATGGGCCCACCAGTGTATGTAGGTATTAAAATAAATTATATTAAGGATATATAGTATTTAAGAGTGGCCCACCAATGTAGGTAAGTATTAATAATTAAATAGTTCAAGTCAAAATAGTTTGTAATAATGGCCTACCAGTGTAGATAGTTATTAATGTTTAGATATTTCAAGACTATAGATGGTATATAATACTGGGACACCAGTGTAGGTAGGTATTATAATGAGTCAATGAGATATGGTAAGGCTAAATAGGATTTAATAGTCGGTCACCAGTGTAGCCTAGGTACATGTAGGTATTAATGATAAGATATTTCAAAACTAGATAGCATGTAATGGTGGCCAAGAAGGGCAGGTAGGTATAATTATGAGATATGCTAAGGCTAAATAGGTTTTAATAGTGGGCCATCAGTGTAGGACTAGGTAGGTATTAATAATTAGATATTTCAAGACTAGATGGTATTTGATAGTAGGCTAGCAGCGTAGGTAGGTATTATTTATTTCATAATACTGCACGTTTGTAACGTCACTTTTCATTGGATAATGGTGACGTTTATATAGTTTTATATACACGGCTGTTGTTGATTCATAAAGAAATTTAACTTTTTTCTCTAAAAAATGATGCTAGATCTACCTGTATTATAAATTTGTTATAAAGATTGCTGAAAGGTTATATGGCTGTATATAAATGGCTGTTTGCAATATAACCCTTGCCTAGGGGCTATGGTTATATTTACAAATAGCCGTTTATATAGGGCCATATAACCTGTCAACAATCTTTAAACTGATAATATATTTCAAGACTAGATAGCAGGTAATAGTGGCCAAGAAGTGTAGGTAGGCATTTATAATTAGATATTTCAAGACTAGATGGTTAACATGTAATAGTGGGTTGCCAATGTAGGTATATACGGTAGATACATGTAAGTGACTCACATATGGCTTGGACTTCTGGCTAGCTGTACGGCTAGATATTTCCTTCCATTTTTTCTAAAGCCTCATCATATGCGCATTAACTGATCAGTCCAGAGCTCTGAAAGACATCAGCAAAACATGATACTATCAGAGCATATTTTATCTTACAAAGAAAATTGAATCACATGAATATTATTAAAACAAAACATTGTCATTGGTCGGCAATTCACGTATTGCTTAACATAGAAAAAGGCTGAAATGTCTTTGGGCCGATTTAGTTTTGGGACGAAACGTCCTGCGAAATTAACATATATAAAAAGCAGTAAATAAACTAAGCAGCAAAAGTATTTACCGTAGCCCAGCTTACACCATTCTTCTTATTTTTCCTTGCCACAAATCGGCCACTGTTATAAGTTTCAAGTTGTAAAATCATTTTATCAGCTTCATCGTTGCTTTTTGTTATTACAGTAGCCATGTTGGATGTAGAGGGCGGAGTAACGGTTATTACCGTAACCTTACGGTTTCTACCGTAACCTCTCCTCACTGGTGTCCCCGTAATGTACCTACCGCTAATGGTGGGTCAATAGCGATTACCGTGTGTAGGCATGGGCAACAGTGTGCGTCTATGTATGCGATTTAAACTAGAAATTTCTCTTAAGAACATGTTATACCATTTCACTTTCATTATATAACTCAAAGATAAATGCACATTTCCTGCAATCAGAATTGCTGTCGTCATTGTGACAATAACAAAATAAAGAATTTAAGATGGGTTTATTTTAAGCATATGACAAAAGCTATGAAAAAGATTTGTATTACAGATTAAAGCCAAATCGGAATATACTTAACTGAGTAGTTGATCCTAAGCATCTTCACTAATTAAGTCATTGAAAGTGACCCATGACAAATTCAAAGTTTACACAATGAAAAAAGATCATTTTCAGAAATAAAACATGTTTTGAGTGAGACATAAAAGATAAGTTTATGAAATTCTCTTGTAACACATTGAGCTTGTGAATTTTTCGGCCGTCAACAGTTACTGTTTGTTTTGTTATTGGCTTCCGGTAACTTGACCGCTAGACAGGTATTTCGTTATAACGACGAGTGTTGAAATTAAATGGCAGGTTAACAATGACCAAAAGTCGATTTTAAAAAAGAATCTTATTGTTTTAAATAACACAAGAATTTTGTTCATTTCAGAGTACGAAATGGAAATGCAATAATCGGATGAGTTAGAATCAGTGACATGAATAAAGTATACATAAAAAAACAGCTATGAATGTTTTGTTTTATTTACTCCGAGGGGTAGCCACTTCCATGTACTTAATTATTTTGTAAGTTTGAAATTAAAATGCTGCCCTGTGGACTTCTTAAAAAATAAATGAATCAAGTCCTTGATTTCAACATTACCTGGTTGGGACTCATAGCGTTGTAGGTATAGTAGGTATAAAGTAAAAGGATTGATCATAAGTTTCGAAGATAAATAATAATAATAATAATAATAATAATATAATAATAAAGATAATACTTATAATAATAATTATTATAATAAATATTACATAAGTTTGTGGCTAGGAAAGAGAGCCCATATATCGGCCATTGTTCTTTATTTCGAGTTCTTGAATAAATATTAGCCACAAAAAATCATTTTGCTACGATCCTTTTTTTTCTTATGATCCAGCAAAAATAGCTATTTTATGGAAGCTTGAATTGACCCGCTGAGATGCCGTGGTACGTAATGATTTATATGTGGTCATGTTAACATATATTTGTTCGACATGACGTGTTTTATCATTGTTTTGATGAAGTCAAATAGAATCTTGACAGCATCTGTATCAGACCATGTCCTCATAACTTTTGTCTAAAATAAAATAGACGGGGACCATTGGAACGGACTAATTATTATTCGGAAGCTCAATTCCACCCACCTAGTACTGATTGACTAACTTCATATATAACTTTATCGTTGATTTCATTAACAAACTTAATGTTTTGAACCGTACGTTATCAAGAAAACAATTCCGGCTAATATATTAAAAGTGTATCAGTCTGATGTTTAATTCGATCTTTAATATGTCTTTTGAATTAACTTTTACAACACCAGCTGCTATACACTGGGCATGTAAAAGAACCAATGGATCTATTCAATAAGAGCTATGGACTGGTTCCCGGACTCCCTTGTATCCCATAGCTGTCTCTAGAGTCTGCTAAGGTAAGGATCCTACTGGAAATAAGTGCTTGCACTTTCGTAGGTTATCCTTGACCACCCGGTCTAAAGAAAATCAATCAGTCAATATCTCTTAGATATATCAATAATTCTTTATATTATGACAATATGTAGTACATTTTGTATGCTGGATAGACTGCTGGTAATTATATACTTCAGCATAGTTTGTGACAGTAAAATGCAAAGGGACACAAAATACGGACGTTATACTATTCTGTTTATTTGTCTGCTATTGACGAAGTGATTGGCAGTATAACAGTCACATATATGTGCCTATTTACGGTTGTAAACCTACCATATGTAAGTAAAGTACAAATAGGTAAAAATGCAAAATGCACTGCAGGAACAAACTTATACTCAGTTCAAATTACCTTTCAAAGCTTCTATCGAACAGTATTACCAAAATGTACATGTACTTCAAAAAGGTTTTTCCGACAGTGTCAATGATGTTATGTCGTGATATTTTCAAAAGACCTGAGATATGACAAGGCTTGTCGAGAGGAAATAGGCTGACTTAGTTTTTCTCGATTCTCATCAACTATATAACTGACAAAAATATATGCCGACATGCCTTGAAACAGACTTTGTCAAGACGTCTTTATTATCCCATCAAACAATGATAGAAGACGTCTTGTCGCGTTGAAATGTGTCGACATGCCGAGGCACGAGTTATCACGCTTATCACCTAAGTTGATTGATCATTTATAGTTTAGGAACCACTTTTGGTTGATGGACCATTAATAGTTGATGGACCGTTTATAGTTGATGGACCACTTTTGGTTGATGGACCATTTATAGTTGATGGGCCACTTATAGTTTATGTTCACTTGTATTTGATGGACTATTTATAGTTGATGGATCACTTATAGCTGATGAATCACTACAAGTTGATGGACAGTTTATAGTTGATGTACCAATTACAGTTGATGGGCAATCTATAGTTGATGGACCATTTATAGATCATGAACCACTAATAGTTGATAAACTATTAATTGTTGATGGACAACTTATGACTGACTAACCAGATATGGTTGATGAACCATTTATAGTTGATGAACCACTTAAAGCTGATGAACCACTTTTAATTGATGGACCAGTTAAAGTTGATGAATCACTATTAGTTGATGGACCACTTATAGTTGATGGACCACTTACTGTTGACGGATCTTTTATAGTAAATGAACCATTTATAGTTAAGGAACCACTTATAGTTGATGGACCACTTACAGTTGATGGGCAATACATGGTTGATGGACCATTTAAAGTTGATGAACAACTTATGGTTGATGAACCCCTTTTCGTTGATGGCCAACTTATATTTGATGGACCATTTATAGTTGATGGACCACTTACAGTTGATAGACCATTTATAATTGATGAACCATTTATAGTTGATGGACCACTTATAGTTGATAAACCAATTTTGGTTGATGGACCATTTATAGTTGATGGACAGTTTATAGTTGCATGCTTGATCATGAAATCCTTTCTACGGTCATTCGCACTGTACCTCTACTCTGGTATGTACAGAAGTTTCAGTTCTTTGCGAAAGTGAAGGCAACTAGTACTGGTAAACTGCTTGAAAACCTGCCCAAAAGCGATGCGGTGGTTGAACTGTGCTCTGGTGAATTCAATGTGGCTTACCGTCGTGATCCGGAGTGAAAACTACCAAGAACACCAGCGTAGATGATATACAAATTAAAGTTGATAAACCATTATAGTTGATGGACCGTTTATAGTTGAAGGAACATTTATAGTTGATGAACCACTTTTGGTTGATGGACCATTTATAGTTGATGGACCAATTTTAGTTGATGCACCATTTATAGTCGATGGACTATTTATAGTTGATGAATCATTTATAGTTGATGAACCATTATAGTTGATGGACCATTTTATAGTTGCTGAACCACTTATAGTTGATGGACCATTTATAGTTGATGAACCATTTATAGTTTATGGACCATTATAGTTGATGAACAATTTAAAGTTGATGAACCACTTATAGTTAATGGACCATTTATAGTTGATGAACCATTTATAGTTGATTGACTATTTATATTTGATGGACCATTTAAATTTGATGGACAATTTATAGTTGATGGACCATTATAGTTGATGAATCATTTATAGTTGATGAATTATTTAAATTTGATGAACCATTATTGTTGATGGAACGTTTATAGCTGATGGACCATTTATAGTTGATGGACCATTATAGTTGATGGACTATTCATTAATAGTTGATGGACCACACATAATTGATGGACCACACATAGTTGGTGGTCCACTTATAGTTGATGGACCACTTTTAGTTGATGGACCATTTATAGTTGATGTACAATTTATAGTTGATGAACCATTTAAAGTTATGAACAATTTATAGTTGATAACCATTTATAGTTGATGGACCATTTATAGTTGATGAACCATTTATAGTTGATGGATCATTTATAGTTGATAACCATTTATAGTTGATGGACCATTAAAGTCGATGAACCATTTATATATAGCACATTACATAGCAATAGCAATTTTTTTTCACTTTAATCATCTGTACGTTGTACCTTTATTTTCATTTGTAACTTAAATTGTCTAATAGAAATACAAATGTATAAAATATACTTATTGCATCCTATTTCAGTAGGATATTTATCTCAGTTAAACATCATATTCTTTAGATTTCAGTTATTTACCGATTGTAAAATATAAATGTATACAGTTCTTTTCATTTCATAAATGAGAGTCAAAGCGGTTTTTGATATTATTTTTAGTTCAAATAGTTGACGTTTATAAAAACTAATGCAAGAAATGTTAGTGTTAAAAAATGAATCTTAAAAACAACAACAACAAAATACATCATGTCTCTTTTTCACAAAAATCGGAAGTCGAACTGTATACTTCGATAACTCAATTACCCTAAATTCATAACCCAGTCCTTATTATTCAGGAAGTTAAAACAGACGCAAACCTAAGTATGCTTTCCTGATATCGCAACATGTACCAAGTGCTCAATGAATAACACAATGGGATTTTCTACTTAAAAACTAAACAAGGTTCGGAAATTATGAATAACAATTTTCAATGAACTAAGTAATTAAAATATATGCACGTTTTAATGTTTGTATACTGAATGAATAAATTTGATTTGATTTTAATAGTAACCGGGAATGTATGATAATTTGAATGTAGATATGGAGTTAAAAAATCGGACTGAACAGGACAACATTTACGAAACTCTTCAACATGGTACAAGGGAGCTTGCAGATAAAACTACTCCTTCAGCAAAGAAGTGTACACCACTTTTGTTATGGTGTACCCTCGTAAATTCAATTTTAATTGGACTGTTGATTATCGCAGTTTCTGTTTCTTTATACATGTGTATAAACGATTCAAAGGCTTCAAATAGTAAAGGTCAGTACTTACAATTTTATTTATCGAATTTGCCAGGGGTCTGTCCGATGATAACAGCTATATTAAACAAATAAGAATCAAATTTTTTTTTTGTTTGTTTAAGGTTTAAAGATCCTGTAACACATTTTTTTCATGGTTTTATTTCATAAATATGATGCTCAAATTAAGATTTGTCAATATTGTTAGTTCCAATAAGCATTATTTATAAAGATATTACCGAATTTAACATTTCATGTAAATAAAGGGGGGTAATAAGAAATTAATTTTCTATAAATTCTAAGTCAAATTTTCCAATAAGAAATGAATGCATAACATTTATTGATTAAATATAATGTGCACAAATATTTGCAGTGCACATTTTATATATTCTTCGATGTTTGAAAATTGTTTAATTTGCATAATTATATATATATATATATATATATATATATATATATATATATATATATATATATATATATATATATATATATATATATATATATATATATATATATATATATATATATAACTTTTGCAAGAGTGGTATACACACAGTAAAAAATATCCATCACAAAACATACAGGATCTTTAATAACAAGAAACACCAGGCAAATATAGTGGAACTTATTTTTTTGTTTGTTTTGTGTTATACTGTTTAAAATTGAGTCCCTAATATTGTAACTTTACTCATATTTACCGGATGGTAACGGAAATGACCGAAAGCTGCTATTGTATCGGTTCATGAAACTCAGAATAATGTTTTTGCTGAGACAGCTTTAAATATAATGTGTCCAATGATTCTGATTAATTTTTGGTATCTTATTACAGTTTCAAAAAAAATCTTATTAGCAATATTCATGAACTCTCTCCTGCTACTTTTGCTCTGTTGGCAATTTGTATAATTATAGTGAATTTGTATTTTGTATGGAAGTCAAAATAATAGTTTGTTTACACTTCGCTACCTTTGTTATGACGTTGGTAGAACTTCATAATACTGATAATGAGCATGATAATATGCCAAAACTAAAGTTGGTAAATTTACATAAGGGAATGTGACCAATATACAAGGACACAAACCACACTTGGTGGTGAGCAACGTTTTCACCGACAGGATTTGTGTGCCTTAAACCGTTACATTTCGGATGTAGACAACTGCTGGACCGGAGTTGCCGTACCCTATGATTTCCCAGGCCAAGTCTCGGGACGATACTCCTCGGGGGGAAAAGTAATGTAACGACGTTGGTAGAACGTCATAATACTGGTAAAGAGCATAACAAGTTTGTGTCTTTAAAAAGAAGCATGCGAGAGGTCTTTTTTGCAACGGTTGAAGATTTGTTTAATTGTTCAAAAGTAATAACTTCTGATTAGACTAAATTTTCCGGCTGTTCCGGCTGCTCCGACTGTCTGGCTAACTTCACGAACATAATTTTTGTTTGTTTGGGTCGTCAGACCAAACAAATAATGGAAGCGAAATTTCAGACCCTAATGCTGTTAATTGCAAATGCCGAAAGTAGTCCGCTTTTTTGAAGCGGTTACTTCCCTTTATATGTACACTAACGCCGAAAAATTCAGGGGAGATCACTGCGTAAAGATGGTCAAATGACAGGCGCATTAATTTTCAAGCAAAATAGTTCCCGAATGATCGAAGATTTCTAATATTGTTTTATTCTTTATAGATATACATGCATGATTATTTACATCTGTGTTAAACAACAGTTAGCGTCGTTACAAACCTTAATTTAGAATAATATGGTTTTATTCAGGCCGTTAACATATAACTCCACCGTGGCCTAGGGGTTTGCGCGCTCGCTTACGAAGCGATAGGTCTTGAGTTCAAATCCCAGTTGAGGCATCTCATTTTATTTTTCAAATTGTTTAAGACAAATAAACATTGAAATGAATATCAGTGTTGCAATAAGTCTTATAGCCAACTTACTACAATTAAAACGCTGGAAAGCATTGGCGGCACTATACACAAACTAATTGGTTTATAATCTCACAACCTTCACCTTTCTGACATTCTGAGACCCTAACAAATTCAGCGCCTTCTGTGCTTTGATTTTATCTGCGGACAATAGAAACATATCGGTTATTTCCGTCAGTCTCCGGATAAGCTCAAATTAGGAATAATAGCTGAAGTGTTCCGAAGTTAAAGGAGGAGCAAAATTTCAGTACACTGTTCACTCGGTCATACATTTATAATAGTGTTTGGTGATATTGTTACGAAATAACTCTGGCTTTAAAAAACCAAAAAAAACCAACAAAAAACCCCAAAAAAACAACAACAACAACAATAACAACAAAACACCAGAAATCTGTCACTGAAAATGTCTATCGTTTAGAACTCTATGCTTGTATAATAAAAAAGAAGTCCAAGTGAAGAATGATAATTAAATCAATTAAACTAAAATCATGTATCATAAGTATATTCTAGAAACAGTCTAAATGCAAATTAAACACTGAAACTACAACTCAACTCTACTGTACAGCTCCAATAAGAACACAAACAAATAGAAAATTCCCATCTTATATAACCTTTTGTTTGCACATGCAGCTAGCGTGGTGTACAAAAATAGACTGGCGCGCGACCCACTCGCGCGTTTTTTTTTAATTACAAGAAACTTCTGATTCTATATGCATAGTATACTTATAAAGTATATTAAAAAGATAAACATCCTGTATTGTGATACTTTTTTCACAATGTTGAAACATTTTCAGAAAAATATAAATCTTAATTTTGTTACAATAGTTAATAGATGTGCATTGTCTTTGTGTGAATTGAAGTAATGGCGTTATGTTTTTCAATTGAGAACAAACTTTGTTTCAAAGTTATCATGCTTACTTAGTGTATTAAATAGAATAATTTTCCTTTACATCCTATTTCTAAACATATGGATGTTGATAAGTCTTTGCCATAAGTAGAAACCATTTGAAAAGTTGTTTGCAATCAGATTTTGTTAAGCGTGTCAGTAACTGTTTTGTTTTTGCTTTTCTTTGTTGTTTTTCTTTCCTTTTTATTTTAGACTTACCTTATGTTTTTGTCTATGACATAATGGTTTTTTCCTTTTGTATGTCTTTGAGGTTTTCGAACTTTTTTATCCTTAAAAGGCACACTTTAGAAGGATAGTGATACCTTTTCTGTTTTGTGCTTTTATTTGAATCTTACAGATTATTTAAAACTAAGGATTATTAGACTTCCAATAAGCGTTGTTTCTTTTTACTTTTTAGTCCCATATCACTGATAAAATTATAAATAACAAAGATAAAAGAGGAAAATCTACGTAAGATTTTAAAGTATAAGAACAATTCTTGGAAGGTTTATTAAGTATATTTTTTATATGATTTGTAATAAATATTTGTATGTATGTATATTTGTATGTATGTATGTATGTATGTATGTATGTATGTATGTATGTATGTACGCGTGTGTGCGTGCGTACGTGTGTGCATGCATGCATATGTATATGAAATTTAATATTAAAAGAAAAGATATGCTAAAGATCAAATATCATAAATTACTCTCTAATCTTAGCATATATAAAATAAAAATTTGTTATATGTTATATAAAGTCTACAGGAAATCATTATGAATTATACAAATACATGGATCAATCTACACTCCTCTTGTTAAATGAAACATAGACATAGTTGTCATTTTCTTTTATTTTTTGTTTATGTGAATGTCATATGTGACTCAGTTTCAATGGTTGTATACTCATACATGTAATACCTGTTTCTTCAATATGGAAACAACAATAGCTACATTAAATGTTAGAAGGTTAGGAAATAATAGGAAACGAAAACAACTCTTTGAATGGCTTGAATTACAACCTTATTCTGTTTATATGTTACAAGAAACCCATTCGACAAATCAATCAGAATTATGGAAAAATGAATGGAAAGGTATGTCTTTTTTCAGTGGAAGTAAGTCAAACAAAGAAGGTGTTGCATTTCTTATAAAAAATAATTGTAATGTAAAAATTCTGAATAAAAAAGAACTAATAAAAGGAAGAATAATAGCACTTGAAGTAACAATAAATGAAAAAGCGTTTACCATGATGAACATTTATGGCCCAAATGATGATAACTTGAATATTTTTCAAATGCTTGAAGATTTTATTCTTGTAAACGATGACAATAGTTTTAAAATTAGTGGCGACTTAAATACAGTGATAAATACAAATATCGATAAAAAAATGGAAAACCTCAAACAAGTAGAAAATGTCGAGATAAAATAAAAAGTATGTTAGAAACATGTAGCTTATGTGATATTTGGCGCATAAAAAACCCTGAAAAGAGACAATTTACATGGCATTCAAATGGAAAACCAGTTATATATTGCCGATTAGATTATTTTTTGGTATCTGACGTGCTATGTAACGTCATTTCAAAAAGTAATATTTCACACGGATATAAAACAGATCACTCTTTAATAACTTTAACAATTAATGATAATGCAATGACAAAAGGGCTTGATTATTATTTAAAATTAAACAATTCTTTATTATTAGATGAAAAGTACAAAAAGTCAAATAAAAGCAACTATAATCTTAATAGCAGAAATACATATAGCATGCAATCCAAATACTCTATGGGAGTTATAAAGGGAGGAATAAGAAATGAAACAATTCGATATGCAAGTCAAAAGAAAAAGAAAGAAAAAGAAAATGAGTTAAATTTGATGAAAGAAATAAAACATTTAGAAGAAAAAATACTAACTACTAACAATAATGAACAAAACAATGAAAATAAATTACATAAAGAAATGATATCTAAAAAGCAAGAACTTGAACAAATTTATAAATACCGTGTAAATGGCTCGATTTTGAGAGCACGTGCTATTCACATAGAACAAAATGAAAAAAATAGTAAATACTTTTCTAACTTAGAAAAGAAGCATGCGGAGAAAAAAATTGTACACAAGTTAAAAATAGAAAATAATGAAATTACATACGCAAAACAAATATTAAAAGAAGAAAAATCATTTTTTGAAAATTTATACAAATACAGAGCCCCAC